TTTTCCACCGCAATATAAAAGCGGTAACACGCAATAACTTTAAAAAACACGAAAATTTTTTAAAAAGAAAAAATTCGGTGTCATTGATTTTTGTAAAAAATGTCTTTCTTTCTTCAATAACTTCGTCCTGTTTAGGAACTTCAGCGAGCGGCCATTGATTTTCTTCTAAGTTTATCCAGGGTGGGCCGTTCCACCACAATTGATTTTTTCTCAAATCCTCTGGATTGCAACCACGAGATATTATATCTGCTGGATTGTCTTCTGATTTCACGTGATACCATTCAGATTTAGAAGTAGCTTCGTGTATTTCCCCTACGCGGTTAGCAACGAAAGTTTTCCATCTGGAAGACGGTGCATTTATCCATGATAAAACTATGGTCGAGTCCGTCCAAAAATATTTTTTATTTATACTTAATCGTAAACGAGGAACAATTTTTTTGAATAGACGAACTAATAAAACGGCGGCGCATAATTCTAAACGTGCTAAAGACAAAACTTTTAGCGGAGCCACGCGCGATTTAGCCGTCACTAAACGCGTCGCACACGAACCGGAGCGGTCATAAACACGTAAATACAAACACGCACCGTAAGCACGAACTGAAGCGTCTGAAAAACCATGAATTTGAATCGCCTCGACATTATCACAATCAACTACAAGTCTAGGTATTGTCATGTGTTCAATACTTGATAAACTGGCTCTGTACAATTCCCACTCCGCCTTTATCGCTGATGGCAACACTTCGTCCCACTTAACATTGAGTTTCCATAATTCTTGCATTATTATTTTAGCAGCAATAATAACTGGTCCTATTAAACCGAGTGGATCAAAGATAGTGGCTATAGTTGACAACACGTTTCTTTTTGTACTAGCCTCTTCATTATCGTTGCGTTCAATGTTTACTTTATATAGATAAACATCATTTACCGGGTTCCAGCATAGGCCCAATGTTTTTGTAGTACTGCCGTCTAGATTTAGAACTATAAGTGGGTCATTATCGGCGTTAGGAATATTTGATAGCAATAGCGGCTCATTTGACATCCATTTTCTTAGTTGAAAACCAGCGCTATTCATTATTTTTATTATATCATTTCGCAACATAAGAGCTTCAGCTATTGAATTACCGCCACCAAGGTAGTCGTCCATGTAAAAGTCTTCTTTAATTGCTAGGCTTGCTAATGGGTATTTATTTTCATTTTCGTTGGCCAATTTTTCTAAACAAGCTGTTGCAACGTAAGACGCATGTGATGTACCATACGTTAATGTGTTGAGATGATACTCCTCTATTTTTTCAGATGGTTTAGATCGCCATAGTATTTTTTGCCATTTACGATCCTGTTCGGCTACGATTATTTGTCGATACATTTTTGTAATGTCCGACGAAAACGCGTACTTATAAGTTCGAAACCGCGCCAAAATGCACATCAAATCGTCCTGTATCACCGGTCCTTTTAACAAAATATCATTTAAGCTTTTACCATTAGTGGTTATGCAGGATGCATCAAACACGATACGTGTTTTTGTTGTGCATTTATCGTCTCGCAATATAGCATGGTGAGGCATAAAATAGGAATTCTTTTCTTCAATTTTATCCTGATCAGAACTAATTATGGACATATGATTTAACTGCTCATATTCATTCATAAATTCCACGTACCTCTTTTTTAAGTCTGCATTGTTAGTTAGACGTTTTTCAGTCGACAAAAAACGACGAAAAGCCGTTCCTCGGGAGCAACCTAGCTGAATGTTTTTTTTCTCGGAAAGGCAATTCAATTATGAAACGACCGTCCGCTTCATTTCTTCTTACTGTCCGATTAAAATGATCAACACATAATTTTTCTTCTTCGCTTAACGATCTTTTATCACCTATTTCTTCGATTTCCCAAAATTTGGTTAATTGCTTGTCTATTTTATCCTCGATTGATAACGACTGAGCAAAAAATGAATTTGTAATTGGTGTAGATAATTTGCATAATGATCCCGCTACTATCCACCCAAGTTCAGTTTCTTGATAAATAATACTGCTATTATTAGTGGTGTATTTACCGGGTAACAATATTTCATAGAAACATGCAGCTCCAATTAAAATATCTATTTTGCCAGGCACAGCATATGATGGATCAGCAAGTTTAATATTGTCTGGCAATTCTTCCTGGATCACATTAATGTTTTCACTTGGAAGTAAAGTGGTTATTTTTGGCAAAGTTAATAACTCAATTGTTTTATTGTAACTGGTGCAGTTAGCCTCTATAGTGGCTACTATTGAATATTGAGACTGTGTGATTGATTTATTTACACCCTCTATGGTTACCTTGACTTTGCGCTTAGATAGACCCAAACCGTTCGCTAAATCAGTTGTAATAAAATTACTTTGCGACCCTGAGTCTAATAACGCTCGCACGTACCATGTTTTGTTTGCTCTATCTTTTATCTTTACAATAGCTGTAGATAATAATACTTGATTTTCGTAACGACCTGACGAGTGCAATGCAGTAGCAGAATTATGAACTGTTTCCTTATCTTGGTGTAGTAATGTATTGTGTTTATCATTGCATATACGGCAACCTTTCGCTTTACACGGACTCGTATGCCGTGTTAAACAGTTTTCACATAAATTTAATTTGATTGTTTGCTCTTTTCGTTCGTTCGCCGATAACGACAAAAATTTAGTACATCTGTATATCGGATGACCTTCATTACACACGTAACATTTAAATTTCGTTGTCGCTACGTGCATAACTGTTTTATTTTGCCATTTTTTTTCTTGCGCCTTTCCTTTTCCATAATTTTCGTAGGATCTTTTCTCAGACTTGTCATTTGAACTGCACGAACTTTCTACAGCCTCAAGTATTTTAAATCTAGTTTCCAAGAAATCCATTAATGTTGATACGGAGGGTACCACTGTTTTCGGCGCCTCAGTTTCCCACTCCTTTAAAGTTTTTTGATCTAACTTAGACGTTATCAAATGCACGAGTAAAGAACCCCAAGCTTTAGGGTCTTGCCCGAGGGTCTCTAAAGCATTCATGTTATTAATAATTTTATCTATTAAACATCTTAATTTAGACGAAGATTCTTTCGTTATTGGTTGAATGTCATACAGCGCCTTCGTATGGGCTTGAACGAGCATTTTTTTATTGTTATATCTATTTATTAAGGCTGACCACGCATAGTCGTAATTGACCTCAGTTAATTCGACTGATTTCACCACATTAGCTGCTATACCGTTTAATGACGATTTTAAATAAAAGAATTTTTGTACTTTTGAAAGAGCTGAATTTGAATGTATAAGCGCTATGTACATGTCATGGAACGCTGCCCATTCTGAGTACTCGCCCGAAAATTGTGGTAAAGGTCAGAAAAAGACTTAAAGGTCAGCTCACAAGAACGTTAAATATACTCAAAACAACACCGGAGAGTTTAGACGCTAATCAGCTGTCGGTGAGAGTAGAGAGAGCTGAAGGAGTATTGTGTGAATTTAACAAGATTCAATTAGAGATAGAAATTGCACTCCCAGAAGAGGATAACGAAAAATATCGTTCTGATTTCGAAGATCTGTATTATGAGACGATAGCTGAGTGCAGAAATATTATTAANCATGGTCCAATCGGCCCGGATCGTACTCAGTAAAATATAATCGTTTACGTATAGTGTATAGTGTTAAATTATTTAAGTGCTAAATTTAACTGGAGTTAAAAAAAATTTCCCGTCCGAAGAGAGGCGTATAACAAACGCAATGGCTGATAACATTGTTTCGCTAAAGGCAGCGCGTGGAGCACTTAAAGGTCAGCTCACAAGAACGTTAAATATACTCAAAACAACACCGGAGAGTTTAGACGCTAATCAGCTGTCGGTGAGAGTAGAGAGAGCTGAAGGAGTATTGTGTGAATTTAACGTTCTTGTGAGCTGACCTTTAAGTGCTCCACGCGCTGCCTTTAGCGAAACAATGTTATCAGCCATTGCGTTTGTTATACGCCTCTCTTCGGACGGGAAATTTTTTTTAACTCCAGTTAAATTTAGCACTTAAATAATTTAACACTATACACTATACGTAAACGATTATATTTTACTGAGTACGATCCGGCCCGAAGGACCATGTTCTTGGTTTGAATGGACTGTATAATATACGTTTTTTTTATTAATAATAGTATTTGTTTATTAATTATAATTATATTTTAAGATAACAACGCTATACTATAAAACATAAAACACTACGTATCGCACTGACCATAACGACGGATTGCAGTGAACTAACTACTGCTAACGGCGATAGGGCCAAGCAGCGCAATCACAAAGATAACAAACAACAAAAAAAAAAATACATTAATCTCGGCCAGAACAGTATTGTTGCACTTGCCACCGCGTAACAGTGATTATGAGAAGATTATAAACAGTACAGGTAATATAGGTAATAGTAATAACAATCAAAATAATGACGTGCCGATACCGTCAAACGCACTAGCGATAAGTAATGAATCTACGGTCATGACAACTCAGACGGTAGTAGCTAAAGATAACACAGTATTATTGTNATACGGTCATGACAACTCAGACGATAGTTGCTAAAGATAACACCATATTATTGTCTACGGCTATAGTATTACTACGCGGTGAGCGCAATGAATCGATTTCATGTAGAATATTATTAGACTCAGGATCAGAAAGTAATTTCATAACTGAAAAAATGGTGCAACTACTAAAATTAAAAAGGTGCAATGTACATCATCAGATTAATGGAATTGGAGGCACTGAACAGTATATTAGGCATAGCACCACGGCTACGGTCAGTTCACGTTGCGAAGCATTTCAATTGACTACCTCTTGTTTAATTGTATAACATATATCAAAAAATATTCCGTCTTCATTTATTAAGAATAGCTGTGTTCAACCATCTGATGATCTGACACTTGCTGATCCATCGTTTATGTTCCCGAAAAAATTACATATGCTAATAGGCGCTCAGCATTTTTACGACATATTATGTGCGGAAAAAATAAAACCAAACAGTTCGGAACCTAAATTCCAAAAAAACGCGGTTCGGTTGTGTAATATCTGGACCAGTGTTACAGCAATCGCATTCATTTGTAGTAAATTGTACAAATTGTGAAGTCGAGCCTCTAGACGATTTACTTACGCGATTCTGGCGAGTAGAAGAATTCGATAATAGAATTACACACACGTTAGAAGAAAAGCAATGCAAGGTATTCTTTGATCGCACTGTACGTCGCGGTGACAACGGTCGTTTTATAGTTAAGTTACCGTTTAAAATAGTGTATTGAAGTTAGGCCCGTCTTATGAAATAGCATTGCGGCGTTTTCTATCGTTAGAAAAACGATTACAAAACGGTTCTATTTTGAAAACCGATTATGCGCAATTTTTAAAGGAATACGAGTTATTGGGTCATATGGAACTAGTTAATTTTATTTCATCTAGTAAAAATTATTACGTTCCACATCACGCTGTGCGTAATCCCAATAGTCCTACTACTAAGTTACGCATCTTTGATGCATCAAAGATGCATCTTTGACGCATCGTGTAAGAATCAGTCTGGTCTCTCGCTTAATGAAGTTTTACTGTAATAAACAAAAAAAAAAGAAAGAATGAAAGAGACTGAGGGAGGTAAAGATGGTAAGAATGGTATCTCGGGGTCGAACTTTATTTATTTATTAAATAATAAAATATCCCTACCTCATTTATTCCTATTTTTGTTTATTACGTGATTTTTTAGAAGTAAGACATGCAAATAAATATTCGTACTTACCTTTATTTCCTTTAGTAATTGACTGAGTTGGTTTTATGGTGATTTCTTCCTTCGGTGTTAACGGTCGTTTATACTGTCTTGCGTTTATTTCGATTAATTAGTATCTCTGTGTATATAAGACTTAAAAAAGGGGATTCTCTACAATGGGACCTGCGTATATTATAATTTGTCACCTTTTTCTTTTCTTTAAATTCCTTTTTATATTATACTATATTTTTACTAATAATAATTTTACGAGAAAAAAATGGCTTTTTATACGCCGGATGAAGTAAGCCAGCGATCTCTATTGAAATTCCTAAGATGTTGGATAATTATTTGTGATTGGTTAATTGTGATAGAAACCCTACCGTGGGCGTAGCTAATGAATTGTAGGGGACTGGTTTGAAACATGTGTTGATAAATAGTTATTTTTATTTTTTTAGTTTATTTTTAAAAATATTATTCATAAATAATGAAAACATTAAACAGTTAATTGAAGGGAAATTGACTAAATAATAAACTAAATTTAACACAAAAAATTGTTTTATGTTCATAGCATTCTTCTTAAAACATTTTTCCATACTTATCATGTTATTATATGATTATAACATTATCACTAAAAATATAACACTCACTTGTTAAACATTTTATCTCGAGTTTTTTGAGTTTTTTTTTTTTAAACTCAAGATTTTGAGAGATATTTCTAAATGAAGATTAAAAATGTTTTTATTCTATTTACAATGAATACTTGAATATTTCGCTCATATGATAAAGAATATATAAATATTCTTCCATATCTAAAAATATTTAACAATCTATGCTAATTTTAAGTACCGTATTAGACAAAAAAGTCAAAACAGATACAATTTTTTTTAATTGCATAATTTAATGAAGTCTTTAAATTTAAGACTTAATAAAAAATTTAAGAAGCCACTAAAATGCTTAAATTTTAATAAAGCCTTAAAAATACACATAATTCAAATAAAATGCTCAAATTAAATATAGATAAAATATGTGTCTTTGCATAGGAACATTTTAACAACTTTTAGATCTTTTTAGTAAATTATATATTACACTAGGCTCCGCCTAGCTAGGGCTCCGTCCCAGACCCGGTGCCTTTCGTGCCTTAAGCGCCTTTGGCGCGTAAGCCTCTTCGGGCCGTCATCATTAGTAGGCCACTGATTCCGGTAGGGGTACGCCGGACACGATAAGTGTTTTTCAGTAAAAATATTATATCAAAATCAGTGTAACAAAACTATATATAAAAATGTTGATATTAAAATCAGAAAATTTAAAAAGAGAATATAGTAAAATGTATTGGGTATAAGGTTGACGTTTGTTAATGAGGTATTCCCTTTAGAACTACTCAAAAATTATTTTAGGAGGTTATTTAATATTTTTTACTTTGTTAAACATGTTATAGAAATTTTTTTGCTAAAAATTAAAGTAATGATGAAAAAAAAAGGACATTAGGTCCTTATTTATTAGAAGTTGCCTAAAAAAATATTGTTAGCGCTGGTTCAAGGGGGGCCCATATCTCTCTTAAACACCCCCGTTATACACAAAAATTATTAATAATCTAATTATAATAATTGTGTTTATATTATAGAATATTTAAATATAAATTCAGCAGGTTATTATACGTGGCACATTGTAAAAAACGGTAGCACAATTGGGTCGAGGGACAGTGTGGATGAGGCATAGATGGGACAAGTATAGATGATATCTGACAGTGATTTTACACTGTCATAAGAAACGCTTCGATGCAAATCTGTAGATAGTGTTTCATTTAGAGAAGTTGGTGGATTATTCCAAAAGCAACATTAACTCTTATTTCTTTGATTATATCCTGATTAGTAAGTCTTTGATTTTAAAACATAATATATGAATAAATACTAATTATAATTATTAAATTTAGTATACAATTGATATTCAGTAATTTAATATTATAATTTATNGGTAGACAATTGATATTCAGTAATTTAATATTGTAATTTATATGGAGAAATTATAAAAATAATGAAAAAGTTATATTTTGCTTTACTTTTACGTGTATAAAAATTTAAAGGGCTTGATACAACATTTTTCAATTAAAATTGTTTGTTTCTATAAATAAATGCACTGGACTACAAGGAACTTTCATCAAAAGCAAAAATTTACTTTTCTAAATCAACTTTTTGCGATGTTTTATAAGTGCAATTAGACTTTTTCTATCTAAATTTTAATATTATTACTTATTATTAAGAAATAATTAAGAAATAAAAAATTGTTTTAAATTAATACTGATTTTGATTATTAATATGTTAAAAATAAGGAAAATGACATATTTAACCTATTTTTTTAATCTTTTATAGTTGAATTGTGTGAAAATTTATAGTAAAAAAAAAATAATTTATTTTACCATAACTTTTAGCTCAATTGGTAAATTTGACATTAACATCATTAAATAGAAAATTTTATGACAATTAAAAAAATTGTATCGTTAAGATTCATATGCAGTCAGAAAATTTTTTATTGCTATTTGTAGTAAATTAATCAGAGTAGCTCAATATTTTTTTGCTTTT